CGAGTCAATTTTCGGTTTAATATATTAGGAAAATTAAAAAAAAGAAATTTCAAATATTTTGATTTTTATGCACAGTTATAGTCAGAGTTAATTTTAAAACAATTTGTGTATGTGATGTAAGTTAATTTATATCAACTATTCAATAGCTTTACAGAAAATAATAATAATAACAATAAAATAAAACCAACATTTACATAAATTTAAGAATTGGCTTTTGAATAAAAAGGTGAGGTACACAGTGGTCAGAAATGCTTGAAAATGCGAAATAATTTAAAAATACTAATTTTTAAAAGAAACTAAATTTTTATGACTTAATAGTTTTCAAACCATCAAAAAATTATACTTGGAATATTTTATTTTTAGTACACTGAATTATTATATTTCGTCCCATTAAAGGAGCCAGGGTAGAAACTAAATTATAGAAACTGAAAGATATCAAAATATTTTTACTGTTTAAGGCTAAATTTTTTAATATGTTAATTTCAGTTTTACAAATTCGGAAATAATTTGCAGCAGGATTATTCGTAAAAGAAGCTCAGCGTAAAGGAATTAATTTCAAATTCACAGAGAGTAAAGAATGCCAGATCGTTTAAAAAAACTTAGAAAAATTGAATTTCTCGTCTTTGTCCAACTCTGTCCAATGCTGTAAAAACTTCAAAGTATTGATGTAGAATCGCTTAACTATTTATGCTTAAAATCCTACCCACCACGCCCTCCTTTCAAAGTTAAAACAATTTATTGACAATTCTGAATTGCGCTGCAAACTTGCGTACTTAAAGTTTCACTTAGAAACATTCGAACATTTTATTCATTTTTTATTTATTTTTATTTGTTTGAATTTTCATGCTATATTTTTCTATACAATGTTCTTATATCCGAAGATATTGTTAGTTTAACATAGGAACAGCCACAAATAGTTATTAAAACTATTTCAAAGTAGCGTCTGTTATTAACCAACATTTTTTCGTACCGAAGTACTACTCAAGCGCAGAGTTGGCGGTGGCAGGATTTGAACTCGTATCGTTCAACAGTCCGAACAAAAACATGCAATATTAAATTCACAATTGGATTTAATTAACAATATCATTTTTTGCATTTAGTTTTACAATAATTTTTTTTAAAGTAACAAAATATTCGGACAAATATTTTAAATCAACGAAAGAATTGAAAAATTTCATTTTAAATTTTTAAATTATTTCGAGTTAAATTTTTGAAAACTTACTCAAATACACCAAAATATGTAAGCTTATGAACAAGACTATGTATGCTAGCTATCAAAAGCTCATAGTATGTCAACAGCCATTGCCTTGTTTGAAGAAGTATTTCGAGTTAAATCTTTGATAATGAATGACAATTAGAAGTTAAACATTCGTAAATTTTCTAAAATTCTCTCTCTCTTTCTCTCTCTCTCTCTCTCTCTCTCTCTCTCTCTATATATATATATATATATATATATATATATATATATATATATATATATATATATATATATATATTATATATATATATATATATATATATAATATATATATATATTATATATATATATATATATATATATATATATATGCATAGTAAAGTTTGTAATATTTAAAAGAATGAAATTTTGATAGAGTGTTTTAAATCTTTACTACAACCCAACACTCAACGTTGAGATAAACCTGTAATATTTGCTAGTTATGTGGAATAAGTTAAAAACAACTTGTTATATATAAATATTACCGATTTCTTTAAAAAAAAATATTATTATAAAAAAATAGTTTAATATTGTCTTAAAAAAATCAGTTCACGTACCTATATATATATATATATATATATATATATATATATATATATATATATATATATATATATATATATATATATAGGTACGTGAACTAATATTATATATCATTAGAAAATCCTCAAATACAGTATTTTAAAGATGAAAAAATTATGAAAATTCTTGATAAAGCTGTGGTCAGAAAATTTTTTTTTTCTCAGATAAATTGTTATAACTTTGCCAATTCTTGTTTAAATATCTATAACTTGGTATCAAAAGATAGATGTAAAAATGGGCTGTAATTTCAAACTAATTTAAAGGTAAAGGGCGCATCGAGAAATCCAGAGGGGGTGCTAATCCACCGCCTACACCTCACAATATTAAACTATTTTTTTATAATAATATTTTTTTTTTGAAGAAATCGGTAATATTTATATATAAAAAGTTGTTTTTAACTTATTCCACAAACTAGCAAATATTACAGGTTTATCTCAAAGTTGAGTGTTGGGTTGTAGTAAAGATTTAATACACTCTATCAAAATTTCATACTTTTAAATATTACAAACTTTACTAAAATGAACAAATCTATTATAAAAAATTAAAAATATGTTTCAACACTTTAAAAAATAGTAATTATTTGTGTATAAGTTGCTTTTATGGAAGAGGGTGTATTCCACCCCCTTTCCGCCCCTAAAAAAAATTTTTCTAATGAAAATTTCACAAAAATTGTTAAAATGCTTTTTTAAACAGAGAGAAATTAAGAATAAACCAATGAAGAATGTGTATGATTTATGTATGTTGTTTTAATAAAATTATCAACTGATAATATAAGTTATAAATCAATTCAAAAGAAAAATTTTTTAACCTTGAACGTTATTTAAATTTTTAACCTTAAACATTAATCTTTATGTTATTATCATTTAGAAAAAGAATTATCAATGTTATTTTAGTTGTAGAAATAGTTGTTAATAATAGTATTTTGAAAAAAAAGATTAAACTTACTACCTGTTAGAGAATCCAAAAAAGTTTTATTTATTTTTTCCATTTTAATATAAATCTAATAATAAAAATCAAAATAATACATTAATGTAGTAATTTTTTTTTATAAAATCTAAAATATATAAATTATAAAATCTTTTGTTGGAGTTTTTTATGTTATTTGGTCTGCAGGTCCGGTTAAAACTTTGAACTTGATTTTCTCGGTTCGGAAAAACATGAAGATAGAACAAAATAATTTCAATCTCGCGAAATGTTTGAAAATGAATATTCTCTAAAATGAAAATATTTTTTCAATTTTAACATTCAAAGGTTAATTAAATTTTGAAAATTTTAAGTTTATCTTAGATGAAACATGATTTTAAAATTATTTGTCTCACGGAAACTTGGAGTAAGTATGGTGAAAAAAATGCGCAATTTGAATTAATTGATTACAAATCAGTTCACCAACCACAAAGTTTTGATGTTGGTGTGACGTAAATATTTTTATTCGTAAGTATTTTAGAAAAGCAACCAACTTTAATAAATGAAAATAAGAGAAAAATTTGTTTTCGTGATGATGTTGATTTTGTGAAGAAGTTCTAGAGATTTAGTTGTCGCTTGTGCGGCACTGTGTCGCTTGTGCGGCACTTTTTGTCGCTTGTGCGGCACTGTGTCGCTTGTGCGGCACTTTTTGTCCATAAATTAAGTCACGCAAATTTCGACCGTTTTAAACCTTCCCTCCCCCCTTCATCACAAAATCGTAATACTTTAGTAACAAGTTTTGTATTAGTCGTCACCATTCCCCCACCCACCTTCTACCTTAGAGCGTGAGGTAATTTATGGACAACCCTTTTGGTATGCATTATTGCTAAAAACAAACTTTGTAGTGTCGAGTCATTGAGGTGCATTAAAAGTAACTTTGTCCCGAACTCCAAGTTTATTATTAACAGATGACCGTAATATCATATATCTTAGAAACATCCCGACGGGCATACGAACATTTAATCAACGTTTAAGTAATGTTCGTTCTAAATGTTTAGATTTAATTTAGTTTTGATTTAGAACGTAGGTCAATCGAATGTTCCATTTAAACCGAATCTAAATGGTTCGTTTTAAATGCTATTTAAACTCGATCTAAATCTTTCGTTTTAAACGTCGTCTAAATTTTATAAATTTACGTTTCTTTAATTTATATGCTTCTTTAAATAAGCGCCGTAAAGAAAAGTCAAACGTTGAACGCGTAACTAAATACTCATAAACGAATCAAAGATACAGATATTTTTTTTCATACATGCAAGTCTTAAACATATTTACACTAATTTTAATTATTATAATATGAATGATCGTATTTATCATTATCATGATCGCTTCCATGACAATAAGCATCATCTTTGCTTGAATCGTTCAAGCCAGCCTCTCCATCTTGAGAATTGGAAAAATGGGCGCCACCTTTCCCAGTGCCACCTAAACGAAACGGAGCCATTCTAAGATGAGAACCAATGCACGAATGTATTTCGGACAAAGAAGACGTAGAATATCGTTTCAATACACATTCTAAAAATAGTTTAAAAAAATCAATAAACATCTTCATTCAATTCATATAAATCATTTATTCGACAATTTTATAAATTCGTAGTGTGTACTGAGTAGATTTGAATTATAACTTGAGTTTGAATTTAATTTCCATTACAAAAAATATAAAAATAATATTTTACCAACAACAAGTTGACACAGAGCAGAGTCTCTAAACGGAAGCTTTTTAAGAGAACCTTTACCATCCATACTCAAATGAGACATAACAAAATTTGTAAAAAGTCTTTTCAATAGATTCTTAGAAGTATCTTTAATGGATAACCCGCCGATTCGTGAAAGAAGGCGAAGCTACAAAGAAATTATTTATAAATGCTACTTTTCATTACACATGGGATTCTAATTAATACAAAAACAAAAGTCTTGCCACCTCAATGAAAGCAAAACATATTTTCTGACATCAAAACAAACATTATATAGACGTTAAAAACATTTCTAGGAAAGAGGATAAAAACAATTAGCTATACACTTACTAAAATTGTTCGATTAGCAAGAACTCCACATTGCTCCTCTAATTTTCTGTATCCATTCAAGGTCCCAATAGCTCCAGCTATAACTTCTAGATGGACCTCAGCAACAGTCTCTAAACTTGGTACGGCCATCATTTCCACTGCTATTCGTAAATCTTTAATTTCGTTAACCATATTTGATAACTGATAAAGAACTTTTCTCTGAAACTCTGTAAAATATATAACATTTATATAAAAACCTTATTAAAAAAACTACACAAATTTCGTTATAACTGTTCACAGTGATAGGTTGATAATAGATAGCACAATTGCAAAGCAACTGCCTTATCTACAGTAAAAAAAACAAACAGTCGAATTAAAAAATATATTATTAAATAATATATAAATAAGGTTTGATAACTTACTCCCATTATCGATTTCATTTTCTTGAGAAGCAGTTGGCTCACTCAGTATCATGTTTGCTTAAAACTTTCTATTTAATGCTGATAGTTTCACTACAATATAAATAATTATACAATTACATTGGGCGTTGTAAATCAAAACTTATTTAGAAACGTCATTAAATTTTTGCAGTATATATGTAAATCAGACCCCATATACTATACAACATTATACTATAAATAAACAATAACTAATATCATTATTACAGTTAATTCTAGATATCTCTAATATTTACCAAATCCCTTGGATATTACACTTAAGTTAAAAATTAAGTATTACTTGATAGATCTATTACATTGTCTTTTGATGTGGCAGCTCTCTGTCTGAATATTGGTATTTTAGAATCAAATTTTCGGGGTAACAGAAAAGGAGAAAGTGCTGATTGGTTAGCTATAATGTAAATAACTATATAGTTACATTATTTATGCAAAGTTTTTTTCAATGAAAATTTACTAAATTTTCCTAAATTTGATTTTAAAAAGTTTACCCTTAAAAGGATAAAGTATTAAATATGTTCATAAGTCGTAAAAGTTAGTAGGTCTAAATCTGAAGATTATTTAAAAGTGAAGGTGGTCTATATCAAAGATATAAATTTAGACATCTTACTTGATTGATCCATTTTATTTTCTTTTGGTATAGTCACCATGCTTGATTTGAATGAAGGTATCTTAGAATAACAGCTTGAAAGACCAGGTGACTGTGGAATTGGTGATAGTTTAGCTACAATGTAAATCTCAGGGTATACTTTTGAGATATAACCATTACAATTATTATTAGTATTCAAAGATATAAAGTACAACAACTTACTTGCATGATCACTTTTATATCCTTGTGGTACCACATCCATTACCTTTTTATATAGTGAAATATTTGATGGTAACATTTTGCCTAATTTAGCAGGTGGCTGTGGAAATGTAGATAGTTTTACTATTTTAAAAATAAAATACAATTACAGCAAGTGTAAAAAATTATTTTTAATAACTGTTTTATTACAAAATACATACACATAACACTATTATTACTATTATTATGTAGGCTATTATTAGCTCCTGCTCTACTCTTCATAAAATTACTAATTAATGAACTTGTTTCTTCACGCAGCAGCCTTGTTCGTCAAGGTTTGTGTTTCAGAGTTATGAAGTTGAGAGAGGGTTGAAACTACAAGTAGCCTCTTCGATTGTAGTGGTCATCTCAGCCTTTAGGGAGGTGAATTGACATAAAAAATATATATTCTTACTTTCTGTATTAATATCAACATCAACTTCTTCCTCGCCTGAAAAAAACAAAGTATTTTACTAGAGCTGTATTAAAGTAGTGGTATTATATCCGAATAAATAACTTCAATTTTGATTAAAATAATGCAAAATTATAGATTGATAATAAGTTTTAAATATATTTTATATATTATTTGTCAGTTTTTGTATATTTCACATATGTTATTATTTTCAGTTTATATATTCTATTTACTATTTATATGAGTATTAACAAATTAAAGTAAAACCTTCAATAAAAGTTGTAAAAGCAGTACGTTTGCGCTTTTTTGAAACTTGCTGATTATCTTCTTCAGTTTCTGTAGTTAAATCATAATTATTACAATCCTTGTAGCAATCTGTAAAAGAAATAAGAAAACATTTAATTTATCCAAAGAAGTTATTGACAAATAAATTCTTTTAACAAGTAATGACTAAATTCTTTAACATTTTGCGAATGTAAATTATGAAGCTGTTGTCAAAAAATAAACACAAAACCTGAAGTAATTTTTATTTTTATTAGTTTAAAAAGTCGCCAATTTTCATTAGGTTCTACTCCTTCTTTCATTAATTTAAACGCATTCATTTTGGATGGGGGCCACATAACTACTTTTCCCCGCACCCATGCGAATGGCAAGACTCCTTCTTCCTCACGATTTTCTTCCAACCAAACAGCCCGGCGATATGACATTTTATTAAAATGTTAATACTCTTTTTATTGTAGGTACATCAACACATAACATAAACTTGTAACTAAACTTGTTTAAAAGTGTTTAATATAAGTTTAGTCGTTTACAAATACATAAATATTATTTTACTAATACATATAAATAGTAGTTTAATTATTGTTATTATCACTTGTTTCAGCTAAACAAGACACCAATAGAAGTTATTATCAGAGGAGATGGTTATGAAAATTTCTATATTAATTACTCTTTAAAATTTTAAGATTAATATCTAAAATTATTTAGATTTACATTAAAAGTAAACAAAATCGAAACAAAAATTAAAAAAAAATTAAAAAGTTAAAACAAAATAAAATCACAACTAAAATATACCTAAAATAAATTTACAATAACTTACACCAAATGAAAATATTAATAAAAAAAGAAGCTATAATAACTCTTTGATTAACTACGAAGGCTAAAAAATATATAGCTTTTTTCACTCATAGTGCTAACCTAGTATACTATGAAATATCTTCCTTAAATTAAAAATCACATTAGGCATATTAGCATATTTAAACATATTAAACATATAGACATAAAAACATATTTAAAACTATATTAGAGGGAGATAAATATAAAAAGAAATGTTTTTGAATATGTATTTATCAACTTTAATTTAACTCAAGACTAAAATTATTTCAATTGTTCGATGGATAATTTTCTGTTGCCTTTGATTAAGTTAACCATAATAGTATTATTAGTAAAATAATTTAGCACTCTTTTGAATGAAGAAGAGGCATTAACACAAAGCCACCATTACAGGGAAACTTCATAGCCTTTTTCTCGATTTCTGCAAATTTCACATTCTTCGATTTAGAATGCTTATAAGTATTGTTCACAAAATAAATGTCTAAAAGGTCAGATGAGCATGGCTCAATAAAAAATGGATGCAAATTAGCAAAACTGAACACATAACACATATATGAATCTTTTAAAACCTCATATACCTCCACAAATTGTCCACTTTTTAGTTGTGCAAATGAATCTCTATATGTTGTTGACAATATAAAGACCGGTGTTGTTGCATTTGTAATTTCAGAGTATTTATGGGCATTTTCATATTCTTGAATTCTTTTTGCTACTTGTACAGCAGGATTTGAAGAGCCTCTTACATATCTTTTTAATGTTTGCAGATAATTTTCAAAAGGAAAAGCACTGATCTCATCAAGTGGTAAACCAAAAAACTCTACATCATCTCCTATATGCAGCAAATGATGAATATTGTATACAACAAAATCATTACCATATAATTTTTGAGAATTCTCAACAAAATGTCTAAGCAAATCTTTTGCATAGTTCAACATGTTATTTCTTTTGTCATTTGATGGTGTGAGTAGAATTGATGCACCAACAGAAAGTGTTAAAAAATGTTTGTAAAGCTCAGAATTCAAAATTCCCTTTAAGACAATAGGTCCTGTGTATAATAAGAATTGCCGGAATTCAGTGGCCTTCCATCTATCAAGGTCCAACAAAGATCTAGGGCGTCTAACAAACTCACTTGGTATGCATTTTCGTAAATCCAAAAGGTTTTCAGAAACTTGCAATATGTTGTTGTTGCTTAATTTCACTTTTCTATTACCTTTTTTCAATGTTTGAAGTATACGACGTACAACACCTAAACATATCAAATGCATATAGTCAAGTGGAAAAATGCTGATACATTGGTCTGTTATTTCATTGAAAGGCGAAGCTCCGTGTTGATGACTTCTAAGGACAATAATGTTCATCGCCTGAGCTGCTATTAGGTGGTACTATGTCGATGTCAATATCATCTATATCACAATTTTCTTCATCGGAACTACTGTAAGGTGGTACTATGTCAATGTCAAGTCTATAGGTATCACTATTAAATAAATTATCAAGCGAATAAATTCTCTGCATTATTTGAAAAATTTGATAGCACAGGAGGTTCACATTCAAAGCAATTATTTGCATCTTTAACAACTTTTCTATATTTTCGCATATACTCTGCTTTTGCACTCATACTAATGATCTAAAAAATCAATTAAATAAAATATTAGGTAATGTTATTTTTTATTTACAAACTTATTATTTTTTTATATAATTATTTGTAGGTACATCAACACATAACATAAACTTGTAACTAAACTTGTTTAAAAGATAATAAGAGTTTAAGATATTATAACTAAATAATAAACTTAATAACAACGTATAATTAGATTATTTGTAACAATAATAATAATTATTATTAATAATATTTTATTGATCACCCTCTGTAAAATTTTTTCTGTAATACAAACTGCTTCAATTCAATTAAATAATACCAATCTTAATAACTTTCATAACTAAACCTTTTTTCAAATTTTTGTGATATTTATGCGAATTATTATAGACTAATAGTCTATTTTAATAACAGTCTAAGTATAGTTTTTTATGCCATTATAAAATCAGACTAAATAACGATTTTAAATATGGTAACAAGCATGTTTTAATATACAAACAAGCATGTCTAAAGGTTATTATCAAAAAGTTAATCCTCCTAAAACATCTGTTAACTCAATTTTTGTTTACTCAAATTTCTTTTAAGTTTTCTAAACTACTATCTACATAATTTAATATTCATATGAAATTCAAATTTTTAAACAATAATGAAAGATCCAAAATGTCCGTTTCATTCTGTGCAAAATCCCTTCTGGGCTAATCGAAGTAACGGATTTAGCGCTTAAACGCTAACTAAATATTCAGAACTCATTTAGAATTGATTCCTAATCGTTTAGAACGACGTAAATGTCATCTAAACGCAAATTAAATATTCAGAAC